CTGTCCTGGACATTTGTGACCAGAGACTTATCCGGCCCAAAGTGTGGTATGGCTGTGCCAGGCTGCCAACAGACTGCCCCCCCAGCCACTGCGCTAAGTGTGTGGACCCGCATAAATAACTGGATTTTGGGCTGGAATTATACCCAGAAATCCTTGGGCCACCCCAGACCACACCTGTATGGCATCAGGAGGGTCTCCTGGACATCTCTGACCAGAGATTTGCCCAGCCCAAAGCGTGGTTTGGCTGTGCCAGGGTGACAACTAACAGCACCCCAGCCAGTGAGCTAAATTAATGGACCTGAATAAGGAATTGGATTTTGGGCTGGGATAATAGGTATAAATCCTTCTTGGGCCCTGCCTCTGTGGCACCAGAGGACTGTCCCACACATCTCTGATGACAGACTTGCCCGCCCAAAGCACAGCTTGGCAGTGCCAGGCTACCAACTGACACCACCACCATAGACAGCACCTGACTAAGGAACTGGAATTTGGGCTGGGATTATACTGAGAAATCCTTCTTGGCCCCCCCCAGAACATGACTCTGTGGTCCTGGGGGACTGTCCTGGACATCTCTGACCAAAGAGTTACCCAGCCCAGAGCACTGTTTGGCAGTGCCAGGCTGCCACCACCTCCCAGACACTGTACTAAGTATCTGGAACTGAATAAGGAACTGGATTTTGGACTAGGATTATACCCAGAAAGCCTTCTTGGGCTGCCCCAGACCACATCTCTATGCCACCAGGGGACTTTCCTGGACATCTCTGACCAGCAACCTGCCTGGCCCAAAAGGCAGTTTGGCTGTGCCAGGCTGTCAACAGACAGCACCCCAGCCACTGTGCTAGATATATGGACCCGAATAATGAACAGGCTTTTGGGCTAGGATTACAGCTAGAAATCCTTCTTGGACCACCCCACGACACACCTCTGTGCCACCAGAAGACTCTCATGGACATGTTTGAGCAAAGACTTGCCTGACCCAAAGTGTGTCTGTGGGGTGGCAGGGCTAGGGTGCAGGTCGGGAGTGAAAGGCCAGGGTGTGGGTCAGTAGCACTGATACAGAAATTCAGACAGGATCAGTGGTTGGCTATCAGAAGCACTTTATTTTGCGAGGCCACAGGAGAAACAGCAAGGGGCAGCTAATTCTCAACTAGAGTAAAGCACAGCCCCCTTTTATATACTAGCAAGCCACATACAGGTCAACCTGCCCCGTAACAGTGCTTTGGGTTAGAGTACAAGGCAGTCAAAGGGAAAG